ATTAGCCATATCATATTAAATAGCAGTTTTGTTGCTGTTATATCTAATGTATCTTCTATTTCACTTTTGTAGACTGAGATCAAGAACCACATGTTCTTCTCTCCCATAAACTGGGATGATCTAAATGCCAAGAAGCTCACGCCGCCCTTCAACCCCAACGTGGTATGTTCCACTGCTCTTCTGCGTTGACTTTGGGTTATTACAACATAGCACTGGATGTTAGAGATAAAAAGGACCTAGTCATTCTGGCATGATTTGTGTCAAGAGAATGCAGAGAATCATGCTATGCAAATATTGCAGCTTCTTATCAGTTGATTTCAGTCGTGTAATTTTGACGTGTTTTTGTTTCAGACGGGACCTAATGACTTGCGGCACTTCGACCCAGAGTTCACCGACGAGCCAGTGCCGAATTCAATCGGCTGCTCCCCGGACAGCGCTTTAGTCACAGCCAGCATCACCGAGGCGGCAGAGGCTTTCCTTGGTTTCTCTTACGCCCCTGCTATGGATTCCTACCTGTAGCCCATCGATGCAGGAACGCCATCCCATAGACTCTTACCTGTAGCTCATTACCATGGAAACCGGTCCCATGGAATCACACCTGTAGTGCATCACTATGAGAAAAGAAACCCTGTCTCATTTCCCTGCCTCCATATAGGGGGCATTTGCACATGGCATACGGCAGCTCAAAAGGCCTTTGTTTAAAGGCCTGAGTTTTACAAATTAAAAAAAGACTTGTCATCTTCATCGACTGCATCCAAATGCACGATTTCTCCTCCGCTTTCACCCCGGGTTGTGTCAGACAGACAGATGGGGGAAAAAAGAGAGAGAGAAGATTGATGCTGATGGACGATTGTTATGTACTTTTCTTTTCTTGAGATTTATTTCCAGCTTATTCACTTTTATAGGATTGTTGATGCTAGACTTCATTGTTTTGGATGGATTGGATGTGTGCGTGTGTGTATGTGCCTTCGTTTTAACACCCCTTCACACATGTTTGTTTAATCTAAATCATGTGATCTGGCACGTCAGTCCGTGTCTGATATAAGTCAACATGACGCTAAAACCACTAAAATATATCAGCATCTGATGTTTATGTGATCTTTCAGTTACACATCTGGGATTAAGTTGCACATTTATCTTCCTAATTTAAAGGGCACTTCCTTTTTTGTGTTTTTCTTGTTCTTTTGACTCAAGTGGAAGGTGCTAGAGGGATGTGCTGCTAATGTGTGTAGATACGCACTTGGATCAAGGAATCAGACGTCTCTGTTACCTTAGTCTTCCAGCCTCCTAGGATGTACAGTAATCGTACAGCTCAGAAATGGGCTAGTTTGTCTGAACATCACATTCCATGAAATAAGACTGTATGGTTATTTAAGTTTGTTTGTATATTTTAAGGTCTATGTATTAGTTTTAATGTATATGGAACAAAAACTTAAGGTATGCTTACATGTAACTATAAATGTACTGTAAAGTTGTAAAATGTTTTAATTAAACAATGTGACCTTGTTTTGTTCGCAATAAAACTTTATGGTTATTTTTCCCCAAAACAATATTTGCATCTTTGTTTTTTTTGCTGTAGATGAAACTAAAACATTGGGTCATATAATTTAACAAACATCATTTAACAAACAGATTTAGCAAACATCACACACCATGAAACGTCATCGGTTTCCTCAGCTGGTCAAAGGTTGCTTTTAGTACATTGTTGTGCATCATTTTACTTTCCCAACCCAGTGCTCACGCCATCCCTGCACATTGAACCCCATCTTTAACCAACCATAATTTTCATTTCTCCGGCAGCTGTCAATGTTTGTATGTATTAACTGCAGCTCCTGGAACTGCTATTCTGAGACCTGGCGTAATGGTCTGAGCAAGTTCACCAGAAATGCTGCACTTGAGGCCTTAAATTAGGTCATGCATGAGTGAAATGACAGGTAATTTGTTCAAAGTAAACCTGAGCATTGCTTTTAAGAGATTTCATAGACATGCTATGCAGGATACATAGGAAATTACTAGCTGTAAAGATACTTTGGCTCTCAACAGGTCAACGTGGCTATGTGACATAAAAGGTTACTAAATATAAAACAAACATATTTCAATTGTGAGATTATATGCATCTCCATAAAAAAATGAGTGCTAATAGATAGATAAATAGAGTGAGTTACAATCTTAGATCTCTTATCCACTAGCGCCGCCACAATGTTGCTTGAAACGATTGGACACTTTTTTTAACATAAACATGAATATGATCTGAAGCCAAACCTTCAACAAAATGCAATAAAATGTGTTGCTATAATACATACATGCAAATTATGAACCAAAGTATGTATAAACATTTAATTTCTGTTCACTTTGTTTGGTGTGACAAAATAATTTCTCTTTCTTTCTTTCTTTCTTTTAGTTTGTGAAGATTTTAACCTAAACGTAAATCGGTTAAAAAAAAAGGTCACAGTCTTTGTGTGGAACTTTTCACTCTTTCATGTAATTACATTTATCTGGCCAGTAGATGGCACTATATTACAACAGAAGATGTTCTGGAAATAACACGGTGAGCATTTTTTCACAAATTGAAAAACAAAACAAAACAAAAAACACCGGAACATGCCTGGGTGATGCTATTATTCACAAAACATTTCATGCGAGTTCATTAGCACTGCAAAAACAGTACTGTATGTCTGTCTATAGTCTATGTACGTACGGAAAGGCTGCTATTCAGCTACTCAAATATTACACACCACAGCAGTTTACATAGTGTCTGATGACTCAGCAAACTCAACTGATCTGACACAGCACAGCAGACCGCCATATTGCATTTCAGCTACATTATCACAATTACAAGTTAACTTTCAATCAGGTTAAACATAGTGTATTTGTGCATACATTATGCAATCTGTATTATATATGTCTATTAATTACTTATGAGATTAAATTATGTAGGTGAACTTTGGCCACTTGATGATGACTGTCTCAATGTAATCTAATTCACACTATTGATACATCTCATAATAGAATTCTATTCTAATGTGTAGTAGTGTAAATTATACACTAGAGTATGGATTTTGCAGCCAACTATATGATCATGAAGGCGAATTTGTCAAAGTTTTTATATTCCATTATATAACTCTGATGTAACACGCATTACAGTACAAAATGGGCAACAATATATTGCATTTCAGCTACATTATCACAATTACAAGTTAACTTTCAATCAGGTTAAACATAGTGTATTTGTGCATACATTATGCAATCTGTATTATATATGTCTATTAATTACTTATGAGATTAAATTATGTAGGTGAACTTTGGCCACTTGATGATGACTGTCTCAATGTAATCTAATTCACACTATTGATACATCTCATAATAGAATTCTATTCTAATGTGTAGTAGTGTAAATTATACACTAGAGTATGGATTTTGCAGCCAACTATATGATCATGAAGGCGAATTTGTCAGTTTTTATATTCCATTATATAACTCTGATGTAACACGCATTACAGTACAAAATGGGCAACAATAAAAAAAAACAGTAAAATTTATAAGATGAGAAGCATAAAACTATTCGACTATGAATGGAAAAATCGAGACTATGAGGCGCACTGTAAATTCTCGCGGTAGGTTGTGAATTCTACTCTTATGAGCAGCTGTGAAGCCACAATACCAGCTATTTGTGTCACCTGAACAAATTAAGATGCAGTCAGTTTTCTTATTCAGATACATGCTTTGTCCTGTTGTCGGCATTTGTGTGTGGTATTTTGAAGTAAGGAAATCACTTGCATAATCCAGCGAGTCATGCACCAGTCTAATCAGTCCGAATCGTGTCCACGAATCATTTGAACAGTTCGTTTTCAAAGAACAGGTTCAAGAAAACAATGCGCCGATTCTTTTACGCAATGAAGTGGTCCATGACAACAACTATTTGTATGCGTGTTGATTCGGCTGTCCAACATACAAGTTACAGAACGTTTTATTTACAACATTTCTGTTCTACCGAAACATATTTACAACATTTCTGTTCTACCGAAACATACTTGACGTATACGTACCAGGATTTCTATATTGCCTAAAATATCCAGGTTTTTGCGTTGTTTTCCTGTTTTCATACTTGCTAACCAATAATAACATGCAGGCATTGCACTGTTTGACCAATCAAATGAAAGGGGAACGTGTAAACCACAAATAAAATAAGATATGTCCAGCCAAAATCAGGTTTTCCGTTTATTAAACAAAAAAAGTCGAGTGTCGAGTGTATTTCTCCACGTAACGCCAACTTTGTTCTTACTCCCAGATTTCTAGGAATCAAATTTTTCAACCCCTTCTGCTTACTTGACACTTTCAGCCTCGCTGTTTTGCATTGGTTAATGTAGGCGATGCGTGTTGATTCGGCTGTCCAACATACAAGTTACAGAACTTTTTATTTACAACATTTCTGTTCTACCGAAACATATTTACAACATTTCTGTTCTACCGAAACATACTTGACGTATACGTACCAGGATTTCTATATTGCCTAAAATATCCAGGTTTTGGCGTTGTTTTCCTGTTTTCATACTTGCTAACCAATAATAACATGAAGGCATTGCACTGTTTGACCAATCAAATGAAAGGGGAACGTGTAAACCACAAATAAAATAAGATATGTCGAGCCAAAATCAGGTTTTCCGTTTATTAAACAAAAAAAAGTCGAGTGTCGAGTGTATTTCTCCACGTAACGCCAACTTTGTTCTTACTCCCAGATTTCTAGGAATCAAATTTTGAATCAGTTCGTCCCGATTTGATTGACTTCGAATATTAAACGACTCGTTCAGTACGAGCCGGTTAAATGACTCATGGAACAGAACTTTTTTTATTTTATTTTATTTTTTTACTTTATTGAACAATGTGAACTTTACAACAAATAAATGGCCTGGTACAAAATGCAAAATTTCTTATTCTTCATGGAACAGAACTGACCTCATGATTCAAATCAAAAGAACTGAGCTCTCGACTCCTGTGGCTGGACGAATCAGACAGCTGACAAACATTCTACACGTTCATATTCTGCGTTTAAAAGAAAGCTTTTCTGTCGGTCACCACATTATTTCGTTCAGTCCAAACATGAAAGAATATGCATTTCCTAGTGTAATAATGCCTTTTAATTTATGAACACAGTTCAGTCAGAGCCGCTTAGTTCTTCAACCCCTTCTGCTTACTTGACACTTTCAGCCTCGCTGTTTTGCATTGGTTAATGTAGGCGGAGTTTAAGTCACAGTGCGCCTTCCAAAACAAGGAACGTGTGTCCACACAAGGGCAGTTAAGTTACTGCTACCCGGGAGAAGAGGCGAAGAGGTGCGATGATTTCATAGACAGCATTCCCCGTTATTGACATTAAAGAGGTAACGTTGATATTAAAACGCGGACGCTTTGTTTGAATGGTCTTGATAGTTAAAAAAAAAAAACGTTACTACTAGTTCATCCGCGCCTACAGCAATGGCACTGAGAAATTCAAGATGGTCAATGGCTGTGCATCCCAACAAATAAAGTTGTTTATGCATGTTTTGGTGTTCCCATTGGTGGCTTTGTTAGTATGGGCTTTCATGAACTAAAGAACTGTTTTTTTAAGTGTTCAGTGGTTACTTGAATGCTTATTAGAGATATATTTGAATGATGATCTTTTTATTAAGAAGCAGACTATGCTTTGAAAAGTTTTTCTATTGGTCTAAACCCAATGAATATCTTCAGTGTTGTGGAGGTGTCACGGTCGAGTTCTAGGAGAGCTCTGAAGGTCCCTTACAAATGTGTTCTATCATATCTGTATTCTTTTCATTGCTAATATTATTGCTGGAGAAATGCATCATCACCTGATTATCACGGGTTATTATGAACCTATTGTTAAATAATCATTGTTTATTGTCCACCTACTGTAGTTGTACCACAACCCTTGAAGAACATGGAAGCATCTGAAGAGTCTATAAGAATGACTCCGGATCCTCAGAGCAAAACATGTCTACAGAATCAGGACACACACATATATCAAGAGAAAAAACCATCTGCACAATCAGGTAGGTACTCCATCACACAGGTAACAGAAAAAAGCTTCCTATATTTTTAGCTTTTGATGTCAAAGTCTGTGCGTCCAGTCAAACTTGACTAAAACAGTTATATCACTTGGTAGAAGTAAAGTGTAAATTTTCCTGTTATTTTCATAAGTAATTATTTGTGTGGTAATAAGTTAAAATTAGAAGCTCTTTTTGGTATAAAGTAGTAATGAAATAGCAATGACTAGTAATGGCAATTTTTCTGATTATTATAACTCAAAAATGAAGTGTGTGGTGTGTGTTTCACAACTTGGTTAGAAATGATAAAGGTAATCTAAAACATGTTGCTTTAGTTGTGTAACAGTTATGTAATACAAATAATAGCTTAATGGAACCCTGTTATTAAAATTTATTGTGATAGCTCTGATGCTGTAATCAAGCAGTCATATATAGTCAGGTATATTGTAGTTAAAGGGGTCATATGATGCGATTTCATTGCGTTTCAGAAGGCGGGGCATAGAGGAGAAACAATAATGTACAGTATGTGGAAAATAATGTGTTTTTTTTACTTTAAACCGCATAAACACATTTCATTACACCAAATACACAAAATAATGTTCTTTTTAGCAGCATCATATGACCCCTTTAATTAAATGTGAAGACTGTTTTATCATTCACCTGGGATGATTATAAGGTCTGCAATACAGCAATTCAAACACTTGCTAGGGCTTACTGTAAAATTGTTTGTACACTGTAAAAAAAATGGCGGAAAATGCACTGGTAATTTTCATTAACAGTAAAACAATGCAGTGCAGTGCAAAATTCAAAGTACAGGTAAAACACCTGTAAAAATCAATTCGGAAAATTGCTTCAATTTAATACAGTACACTGTGCCCTATTTTTATAGATTTTTTACAGCATAGGGCAGCATGGAAGAAGCCTTGAAAACCAAAGCCATGTGAGCTTGTGTATGATGATTGCAGTGAACACAATCAAGTGATTCTATGATGACTCATGAGCAATTCATGTGATGATTTTTGTTACATTGAATATTCATGAGATATGTTGTTTTAACAGTTCCAGTATACAATCAAAATCGGTATACTGGTACTGTTGAATCTATATACTGTTGTAATTCGAGAGTCAGTCATGTTAATGTATTTACATACTTTTGTATGGTGCTTGCATATTTTATTTTATCCAACATTTTAGCGTATGCGTCGACTGTTCTCAGCAGCGTGGGCTTCCATGGGAATGAGGCGGCGACTCTTGCATCCACAGGGTTTGGTGTGGTTAAAGTGGGAGGGACCATTCCTGCAGTCTTTCTAGTGGACAAAGTGGGGCCTAAAGTCCTACTATGTGTTGGAGCTGTTGTCATGATGTTGTCAACAGCAACACTGGGGGCCGTTACATTGCAAAGTCACACACATGTTTCTAGCCTATGCAGAGGTCCTGTTAATAAAGCAAACCTAACAGTATTTGGGACGGGAGAAGAGACTGATTTCCAGACAAACAATCCACTGGGTTTATACCAGCCTTCTTACAATGAACTTCAAAACAAGCACAAAACAAATGTTTTCCTCTTTAATGACACTAAGGACCATTGGATTTTAAACTATACTCATGATTATAGGACATTTATGGAACTGGCTAAGGGTTCTGAGAAAGACAGTTCCAAAATTGCACTTCAGTCTCTTCATGTTAATGAGGTGTCACCCTCTCTGAAATGGATCTCTCTGGTCAGCTTGCTGGTTTATGTAGCTGGATTTTCCATCAGCTTGGGACCAAGTAAGATTCAGTCACTGTTCACACTGTCACATAAAACAAAAACGTCCTGTTAAAGGAATAGTTCAATAGTTGGAAATGTACTCACTCTCAGGCCATCCAAGATGTAGATGAGTTTGTTTCTTCATCAGAACAGATTTAGAGAAATTTATCATTACATTATTTGCTCACCACTGGATCTTCTGCAGCGAATGGGTGCCATCAGAATGAGAGTTCAAACAGCTGATAAAAACATCACAACGATCCTCAAGTAATCCACACGACTCCAGTCCATCAGTTAACATCTTAATGCTGCATGTTTGTAATAAACAAAGCCATCATTAACACATTTTAACGTCACACTGTTGCTTCCAGCTAAAATATGAGTCCTCTATCCAAAATATAGCTTTCTCAGATGAAGAAACAAACTCGTCTTGAATGGCCTGTGGGTGAGCAAATTGTCATTTTTGGGTGAGCTATTCCTTTAAGGGGTGGTCCATCCAAAAATGAAATTATGTCACCATTTAATCACCCTCATGTCATTCCAAACCAATATGACTGAGTTTCTTCTTTGGATCACAAAAGGAAAATTTCAAATAATGTAGTTATTTTTAAGTTTTAGAACTTTAACATGCAACTGCAATAAACAGGGATTTCTTGTATTTTAAGGTTCATAAAATCCAGTGAGTTGTTAACCGCTGTGACTGGATAATTGAATAAGTAAACTGAAATTCAAGAATCATATCAGTCCAATTTGTAAACAAATCATTCAGACTGATTCATTGAAACATTCAGCCTCAAAAGAAGGAATTTATTGTGAATTTGTTCGAACATTGCTAGTGCTACTACTCTCCAGTGAGCTGTTAACTGCTGTGATTGGATCATTGAATCAGTTAAACGTAAGAACTGGATCAGTCTTTTTTTATGAACAAATCTTTCAAGCCGATTCATTTAAAACATCTGACTCAAAAGAATATTTTTTATGGAGCTTTGCAGCCCCAGTGCCAATTCGCTTTCTGTAATGAAAAGAGAGGCCAGAATAATCTTCAGATATTTAGAAGAATGGTAGTCAAGCAGGTTTGGAACAACGTGAGATTGATTAAATGTTTTATTTTTTTATTTTTTTATTTTTTTTTTAGGTGAACTATTCTTTTAATGTTGCATTTCTATGAAAAGCATATGTTGCAGATTTTTCATTTTTATAAGCTGTTTTTTTTTTTAACCAAATTTAATCATCAATCTGCAGTGGTTCATGTGGTTTTGAGTGCGATCTTCCCGACTGGCATCCGTGGAAAGGCTGTGTCCGTCATCTCTGCCTTTAACTGGGCCACAAATTTGCTCATATCGATGACTTTCCTTACTCTGACAGGTAACACACATACAAACACAGAAAGGGGTTATTTACAGCTATGAGATCAGTAGATCATGGAGACCCAGTCGTATTGCAGGGTGCAGGCAGCGTATTTTTCAGCATCTGGCTTCTGAAGGTCATCCAATAAAAGTTAAAACCCATGAAGATTGAGGCTGTCTCTGTTTAGATAAGTAGTTAAATACTCTTGTACGCTGGGTCCTTGATCTGGCACTATTAGGAGGAAAATTTGATAATTAGTGAACATCACTATTACCTTTTCTCAAACTTCAAGTTAGTGGTTTGATTAAATTCCTAAGCCTAAGTATTAAATTTAATACAAAAACGGTCTCTTACTGTTTGTGCTACAGACAATTTCATTACATTTCTAAAAAGAGTCTGACAAGCAAGACACCATAATGACCCTCCACGAGTTATTTAAGAGCACAGTTAATTTTGCCATAGATCATTAACTAACAGGGTCAAAGGGATGTGTTGTTTTGATTCGAGTTTCTATTCTGGAAAAACATTGGATTGATTATTAATGTTAGAATTTAACCCAGCATGTTGTTCTCATAACCTACAAGTGTTGCCTTAGCCTATCTAAAATTATATAAATCAAAGGTTTTCAGATGGGTCCAGGGACCTTAAGGGGTCCGCAAGGGGGTCTGTGGAAAATTTGAGAAAAAAATTAAGCCTGTCATTGTTAACTGTAAACATTCTCTGGAACAATATTTGTTGTGAAAAGGGCACTACAAATACATTTGAATTAAATTAACATTTATTATTACATAATAGGTGGTAGAAAAAAACTCTTAATAGAATATCATTATTTTTCATATATATTATTTACATATCATATAGATAGATATATAGATATAATTTGCTTTGGCTTCGGTAACAGTATAAAAGCCAGTTATTTAATTTTGCAAACAAGGTGTTTACAATATCATTATTATTTTTTTATATTTATTTTTTTTACACCGTATCAGTCCTTATGTATGAAAATATCTAACTGTCTTTATATTTTAGGAAGTGGTCCCTCGCAAAGGGATCATAATATTTGGGGATTCATAGCATTAAAATACTTGAAACTTATACACTATAAAGATTCATCAGACTAATTTTTATGAAATATTGTAATTATCAAATTCAATGAGGGCTGTAAAGACTATATGACAATAGAAGCAAAGTTTTGTTCTCAGACACTGCTCACTAAGTGTGGATGGAGTAAGGATTGTGTGTTTAGAGGCAGTTCACCAAACATTCATTTGCCACCTGTGGGGATGTTCCTGCAGAGAGGGAATGAAAACTCAAAGAAACAAACTTACAAAGCGTTGCACAGAACAATAAACAAAACAGTTTTTGTAGCAGAAAGGAGTGCTTTTCAGAGGTGATTTACTGAACTGTGTTGTGGTTGTAGAGAGGATCGGCCTGCCCACCGTGATCTTCTCCTATGCTGCTATGAGCTTCGTGTTGGTGGTGTTTGTGATTGTATTTGTGCCAGAGACGAAAGGCAGATCGCTGGAACAGATCTCTAAGGAGCTTGCCGTGAAGTGAGCACACACACACACACACACACACACACACACACAAATGCCTCTCATGTTAATGGTCCCATTGAATTGTGTTGTTCTCAAATTAAGTTAATTAGTTACGGTGACCATCCGTCCTCTTTTCCCCCAAACATGTTCTGGCCAGGATTTCTAAATTGCCTAAAATGTCTGAGTTTTGGCTTTGTTATCCTCAAACTTGCTGAAGGTAGTGACTAAAAAGTAGTTACTTTTTAAGTAAGTACTAAAAGCATTGTACATAATCAACCAATTGTGCCATGCAAGAAGGTGGGATCTACAGAGAACGGATAAATCAAATACCAAATATATAATGTATGAGGACTGTAAAGTGCATGTTAATAGGAAAACAAAGCTAAAACCAGCTATTTTAGGCTATTTTAAATCCCAATGTCCATGAAAAAAAAGAAGACGTACGGTCACCCTGCATTACTAGAGTTTGCTCAGGCATCACTTTTATTATTGCTCATTAAATGTATTAAAATTTGCCATGTAAGACAATTTTATGAATTAAAATAAATTACTACATTAATTAAATAATTTTATTTGTGAATGTTTTAAAGGTCCCATGGCATGAAAATGTCACTTTATGAGGTTTTTTAACATTAATATAAGTTCCCCTAGCCTGCCTATGGTCCCCCAGTGGCTAGAAATGGCGATAGGTGTAAACTGAGCCCTGGGTATCCTGCTTTGCCTTTGAGAAAATGAAAGCTCAGATGGCCCAATCTGGAATCTTCCCTTTATGTCGTCATACGGGGAAAGGTTACCTCCCCTTTCTCTGCTTTGCCCGCCCAGAGAATTTGGCCCGCCCATGAGAAAATGAGCTACTACAGTGCCAGGCGAGTGCAATATTTTTTTTTTCCTCGAGAGACATCATGGCTTGCAAACGAGCGAAGCATGGCAGTTGCCCCGCCTCTCTCCTCCTCATTAGCATTTAAAGCTACAGACACAGAAATGGCACGTCCTAAGGAAAGCTCATTGTGGGACTGGCTCGTAGTGGCTGAAATTCTGCACCAAGGCTGAATTTCGGGAAAGAGACTTCAGATACAGTACTAGGGACCACTTAGGCCTATATAAAAGCATCCAAAAAGCAGCATGTCATGGGACCTTTAATGCATTGTTTAAATCTTATATATTATATTTGGCTAGAAATTCACATATTTACAATGAAGGAGAGACTTGAAAATACAGAATATTCTAGACACTTGGGATGATAAATGTTTTTTTAGCAACCTGTTCTACAAGTTACCCCATTCGGCAAAAAATGTCTTTACAATAGCGTGAGGGTCAAAAACACTCATACACATGATTTTACAATGTTTGACACTTGTCCCATATTGCATGCATCAGTGACTTTTTGTTTTAAAGTGCATAACATAATGGTCAGACACATGTCTTGTTTTGCAGGAATCACCTGAGCAGCAGACTGCTGCATCATAGAAGAAAACACGAGGCTATAGCACAACCCTCACAGGAGGAAAAAGCCCTCACAACGGTTTGACTCTTTACCTAGATGAAGAGTGGAAGTGCACAAGGGTATTTGCAAACAACAGGACAGCCAAACCTGTTACTGCACATTTCAAAGTATTGAAGAGATATAACTGATTGATGTTGTCATTGTGATAATTTAGCTTAATAAACCTTCCTATGGCATGATGGGTCAGTTGAGAATAGTTTTTTTGTCAATATGATTTATTTGTATTCATTTAAAAATATATATTTTAAATAGTTTTGGTATTGACCGAGATTTATATGGAATATTTACAGCTGACTGTTAGGAAACACTTTGGAAATTGTGCAATCATGACCATAATCATGCCATGGCAAGTCAAAGCAAGGTTCTGTGGCCCAGCCACATGTCAGTGTTTGTGTGCTGAGCATTACCAGTTTGACAACACTTAAAGGGTTAGTTCACCCAAAAATGAAAATTAGCCTGTGTTTTACTCACCCTTGAAGCATCCTAGGTGTGTGACTTTTTTTCTTTCAGACGAATCCAATCAGAGTTATATTAAAAAAACGGTCAAGCTACAGACACAGAAATGGCACGTCCTAAGGAAAGCTCATTGTGGGACTGGCTCGTAGTGGCTGAAATTCTGCACCAAGGCTGAATTTCGGGAAAGAGACTTCAGATACAGTACTAGGGACCACTTAGGCCTATATAAAAGCATCCAAAAAGCAGCATGTCATGGGACCTTTAATGCATTGTTTAAATCTTATATATTATATTTGGCTAGAAATTCACATATTTACAATGAAGGAGAGACTTGAAAATACAGAATATTCTAGACACTTGGGATGATAAATGTTTTTTTAGCAACCTGTTCTACAAGTTACCCCATTCGGCAAAAAATGTCTTTACAATAGCGTGAGGGTCAAAAACACTCATACACATGATTTTACAATGTTTGACACTTGTCCCATATTGCATGCATCAGTGACTTTTTGTTTTAAAGTGCATAACATAATGGTCAGACACATGTCTTGTTTTGCAGGAATCACCTGAGCAGCAGACTGCTGCATCATAGAAGAAAACACGAGGCTATAGCACAACCCTCACAGGAGGAAAAAGCCCTCACAACGGTTTGACTCTTTACCTAGATGAAGAGTGGAAGTGCACAAGGGTATTTGCAAACAACAGGACAGCCAAACCTGTTACTGCACATTTCAAAGTATTGAAGAGATATAACTGATTGATGTTGTCATTGTGATAATTTAGCTTAATAAACCTTCCTATGGCATGATGGGTCAGTTGAGAATAGTTTTTTTGTCAATATGATTTATTTGTATTCATTTAAAAATATATATTTTAAATAGTTTTGGTATTGACCGAGATTTATATGGAATATTTACAGCTGACTGTTAGGAAACACTTTGGAAATTGTGCAATCATGACCATAATCATGCCATGGCAAGTCAAAGCAAGGTTCTGTGGCCCAGCCACATGTCAGTGTTTGTGTGCTGAGCATTACCAGTTTGACAACACTTAAAGGGTTAGTTCACCCAAAAATGAAAATTAGCCTGTGTTTTACTCACCCTCGAAGCATCCTAGGTGTGTGACTTTTTTTCTTTCAGACGAATCCAATCAGAGTTATATAAAAAAAACGGTCCTTCCGCATATGACAGAGTACCGGAAGTGAGAGAAAAGTGTTTATTACGTTTGAAATATGGATATTTATCTTACAAAAACGGAGACCTTTATTCACCCCCCGGAGCCGTGTAAGGGACGTTTTATTATGGATGCGTGCACTTTATTTCACGTCTTCTGAACTGTTGACAACCAACACCAACACCCGCTTACCCCCATTGAAAGGCTTGGAGGGGCCAGGACAATTTTTAATATAACTCCGATTGGATTCGTCTGAAAGAAGAAAGTCACATACACCTAGGATGCTTCGAAGGTGAGTAGAACAGGCTAATTTTCATTTTTGGGTGAACTAACCCTTTAAAGGTGTGTCTCTGGAATGAGATGCATTTATGTAATAAAGTCACCGAATTGCAAATCGGCATGTTATGTAATATTACAAAATAAAATTTTGTTCATTAAAAAATTTTTGATTTTCGTAAAAAAAAAAAAAAAGGTCTTAGCGCTTTACTGTGTATTGCTGTACACCCAAAGCGCTTTACAATCATATGGGGGGGGGTCTCTCCTCAACCACCCCCAGTGTGCAGCATCCACCTGGATGATGCGACTGCAACCACAGGACAACAGCGCCAGTGCACTCACCACACACCAGCTACAGGTGGAGAGGAGAGAGAGTCATAGAGCCAATCAAGTGGATGGGGATTATTAGGAGGCCATGATTGACAAGGGCCAGTGGAGGGAATTTGGCCAGGACACCGGGGTTTCACCCCTACTCTTTACGATGAGTGCCATGGGATTTTTAATGACCACAGAGAGTCAGGACCTCGGTTTAACGTCTCATCCGAAAGACGGATCAGAGGTCGCACTACTGGTGGCCATACTGGAGTTGAGATGTCTGGAGGTTACTCCATTTCTATGAAAGTGGATGGGGAAGGAGGGGTAGCCGCCATTTTTTTTTGTGTTTGTGTGGGTGAAAGGAATGTTGGTCAGAAAATCAGTAAATGTAAATGTAAATCAGCAATTATGTATGTGTCAGTATTTTCTTACACCACAATTTTCACCAAACACCAACATACAATTTTTCACAAATGGTTTGATAAAATACTTTACCCCAAGACAACAAGTTAAATTAGGTCACCTTCAATTATTTAAATTACTGCGACACCTTGGAGATAACAACTCTACTTAACCAATTAGCGTTCACACTCACTGTTTGTACAAGTTTCACAAAAAAAAAAAAAACTTCTAAACTTTTACCATAGGCAAAACAGCTTTGTTAATTCAAACATTTTCAATTCAAGTGTTCAATAAATCACAATCACTTTCAAAACTTTCACAATTCAAATGTTCACACACACAAAAAAAAACTTTTAAGCTTTTCCCAATTAATAACACTCCCGCAATCAAAAGCACAGGATTTCCAAAAACACAATAGTTTTCTTTTAAAGGTCCCATGGCATGAAAATTTCACTTTATGAGGTTTTTTAACATTAATATGAGTTCCCCTAGCCTGCCTATGGTCCCCCAGTGGCTAGAAATGGCGATAGGTGTAAACCGAGCCCTGGGTATCCTGCTTTGCCTTTGAGAAAATGAAAGCTCAGATGGCCCAATCTGGAATCTTCCCTTTATGTCGTCATACGGGGAAAGGTTACCTCCCCTTTCTCTGCTTTGCCCGCCCAGAGAATTTGGCCCGCCCATGAGAAAATGAGCTACTACAGTGCCAGGCGAGTGCAATATTTTTTTTTTCCTCGAGAGACATCATGGCTTGCAAACGAGCGAAGCATGGCAGTTGCCCCGCCTCTCTCCTCCTCATTAGCATTTAAAGCTACAGACACAGAAATGGCACGTCCTAAGGAAAGCTCATTGTGGGACTGGCTCGTAGTGGCTGAAATTCTGCACCAAGGCTGAATTTCGGGAAAGAGACTTCAGATACAGTACTAGGGACCACTTAGGCCTATATAAAAGCATCCAAAAAGCAGCATGTCATGGGACCTTTAATGCATTGTTTAAATCTTATATATTATATTTGGCTAGAAATTCACATATTTACAATGAAGGAGAGACTTGAAAATACAGAATATTCTAGACACTTGGGATGATAAATGTTTTTTTAGCAACCTGTTCTACAAGTTACCCCATTCGGCAAAAAATGTCTTTACAATAGCGTGAGGGTCAAAAACACTCATACACATGATTTTACAATGTTTGACACTTGTCCCATATTGCATGCATCAGTGACTTTTTGTTTTAAAGTGCATAACATAATGGTCAGACACATGTCTTGTTTTGCAGGAATCACCTGAGCAGCAGACTGCTGCATCATAGAAGAAAACACGAGGCTATAGCACAACCCTCACAGGAGGAAAAAGCCCTCACAACGGTTTGACTCTTTACCTAGATGAAGAGTGGAAGTGCACAAGGGTATTTGCAAACAACAGGACAGCCAAACCTGTTACTGCACATTTCAAAGTATTGAAGAGATATAACTGATTGATGTTGTCATTGTGATAATTTAGCTTAATAAACCTTCCTATGGCATGATGGGTCAGTTGAGAATAGTTTTTTTGTCAATATGATTTATTTGTATTCATTTAAAAATATATATTTTAAATAGTTTTGGTATTGACCGAGATTTATATGGAATATTTACAGCTGACTGTTAGGAAACACTTTGGAAATTGTGCAATCATGACCATAATCATGCCATGGCAAGTCAAAGCAAGGTTCTGTGGCCCAGCCACATGTCAGTGTTTGTGTGCTGAGCATTACCAGTTTGACAACACTTAAAGGGTTAGTTCACCCAAAAATGAAAATTAGCCTGTGTTTTACTCACCCTTGAAGCATCCTAGGTGTGTGACTTTTTTTCTTTCAGACGAATCCAATCAGAGTTATATTAAAAAAACGGTCCTTCCGCATATGACAGAGTACCGGAAGTGAGAGAAAAGTGTTTATTACGTTTGAAATATGGATATTTATCTTACAAAAACGGAGACCTTTATTCACCCCCCGGAGCCGTGTAAGGGACGTTTTATTATGGATGCGTGCACTTTATTTCACGTCTTCTGAACTGTTGACAACCAACACCAACACCCGCTTACCCCCATTGAAAGGCTTGGAGGGGCCAGGACAATTTTTAATATAACTCCGATTGGATTCGTCTGAAAGAAGAAAGTCACATACACCTAGGATGCTTCGAAGGTGAGTAGAACAGGCTAATTTTCATTTTTGGGTGAACTAACCCTTTAAAGGTGCGTCTCTGGAATGAGATGCATTTATGTAATAAAGTCACCGAATTGCAAATCGGCATGTTATGTAATATTACAAAATAAAATTTTGTTCATTAAAAAAATTTTGATTTTCGTAAAAAAAAAAAAAAGGTCTCTTGCTCCATCACTTTAAGTCATTTTGACTTAAAACTACATTTTGTGTTTTATAACATTAAAGACATTTTTGACAGAATTAAACTTATTAAAACATCTTATCATTATTATAAAACATAAAATGCATTTAAATATAGTTAAGATTGTAGCGATATGCTTTTATTTCTTTTTACCAGCTGTATATTTAATGACTTTCCAGAAGTACATGTGACGTCACGTGACATGTTTTTTTACAAGCTGTTTTCTCGACGGTGGTTCAAACACTTATTGGGCAAATACATGAGGCTTGATACGTTTCGGTAAGTTGTACGTTATCTTTTAATACCCTTTAAAAGTGTATTCGTGTTTTTTTCGCACTGTATTTAGTAGTAAAGTGGAAATGATTGGTTTACTCACGCCAAGCGCTTCATGGCTACAGCAATCTGTCACGCAACGTAAAAGCTTCAAACGACATTTATTGTTTGATTTTCTTAATATAATC